CTCCTAACTACATGTATGAAGGTATGCAAGTACTGACCTTTCACATACAAGTATTAGGAGTCAGACACCATTACATATTCAAACAGACTTCATAGCATTTACAAGCCAGAGGCATAGCTTTCATGTCAAGTGTCAACTTTCATCCTGTGAGATAGAAGCAAGCTGATCTGAACTGCACCAAGAAACTGTATGATGATGTAAAGAGAAAATCATTGACTTTTTAACCAGTAAGTCTGCCTATATGTAAATTTCTATTACCTTTATCATTCATTTCAAATACATTTTACTGAATTTTAACATTTAAATATTTTATTTTTTATCTTGTTATAACTAATGTTTAGATTTATTTCAAAGGTTCTAATCTCTCAGTTTTTGTGCAATTTAGTATCAAAATTTTTAGCACTTAGCTTTTGTTGGCACTATGTATCCACCACTGTGCTAAGATGCTGTAAAGTGCCAATATGTATTGGTACATACATAAAAGCCATAGGAACTTGGCTCATGTATACCCATCATTCACTTTATTTTAGATCTCCCTATACATTTCAAAGCAACAAAGTTTATTAAAAAAATGATCTGAGTTTAGATTAATTGCTTATATGGTATATATTCTTAGCTAAATTTTAAAAAAATAAAATTTTAATAATTGTATTATTTATTTTTATTTTATTACCTGTCTACAGAGACCACCTGACTCAGAGCAGACCTGGCCTGTCCTTCGGTCATGCAACTTGAATCAACATTTCAAGTCATTGGTTTTATTCCACACTTGAAAGCCTTGCTCTTAATGAAGCATTTTGATTGATTAGAATTATTTTCAGCAACATTTGAGTCATGTATGATATGGGGCCTGGCTAGATTGCAAAATGTTTGAAACTAAGATATGTTAATAATCAATCATAAGAGACTTTACCTCTATAGCTTTTTCTTTAAAAAAAAATTATTAGATCAGTTGTTTTATTATCCTCAGATCAGATTCACATATAAATATATTTAACAGTGTTATGACAATTAATTAAGCTGGTTTCAGAAAATCCTGCTTTATTGACATAAAGGATGGACACTCACGGCATATTTAAATGGATTCCTCTCTCTCTCTCTCTCTCTCTCTCTCTCTCTCTCTCTCTCACACACACACACACACACACACACACACACACACACACACACACACACACAGAGTTTATCAAAATCATTAATTTATGCAGTCCTGGATCTATCCTTATCCATACATGTGATTCCACCATCAGTAGGAAAATAACATGATCTAAATGCCACATTCAGCGCATTCCATTCTGTAGTTGAAATCTACTGCTTTTAAAAATTCTAAGATTTGTATTGTTTTAAAATTTAATACAGAAAATGCTACTTTTATTCATTTCATCCACACATTACAGAAACCAGTCAGAGCCAGTCTACCAATCCACATATTACAGAAACCAGTCAGAGCCAGTCTACCAAGGACCTGAACTGTTGCACGTATGCAATGACAATGATTCATATTTACTAGATGGCTAACCTGTAGACAAGCTGAAAATTAATTACCTTACAGTTGTAATCTGGAGAGATAAAGTCAAAGTCCAGATTTATTGATGTATCATAAATAAGTAGTATGCACTACTGCTTCTGAGTCTTTGATATAAAAAAAAATCAGACAACATTTTTGCATACATGAGAAACAAAGGATACATAAAAAATGATTTTCATATAAACACTTGCACAAGCATTTTGATTTTTTTGTCTTTCTTAATTGTTACTGTTTTTAAGATGTTTTAAGAGGAATGTTAAAAAGAACTCCTTTCTTTTCTGTCAATTTGTGTCAAAATGCTGAAATGCACACTTTTTCCTCATGCTAAAGAAAACATTGGCTAAAAGCTATCAAAGTTCAACAAGGATTGAAAATCAGAATTTAAGTGCAAGTGAGTAGCATTGTGTTTCATGCAAAGCAGATTTTAATACTGTACATGGGTAAAGAAAAGACATCACCAGATATGCAGGTTCCACTGCATAGGATAAATCTGGACCAGAAAACTATTTTAAGCCTGTTATAAGCGAGAGATTTAAGATAACAATGAAAGTCACGAGGAGTAAACAGAGAAAGATACTAAAATGCTTGTTGACTTAACACCCAAAAAAAATCACTGCAGTAAACTTTTGGATATACAACTCTTTTATTTTAACTTAACTGACAATATTATCTGACTCGAATTAATAATTATTGTAACACTGCCATCTAAATCTATTCAATGTTCAAAACATTATATTTTATTACAATATGAAGAGAATACATATTAAAGGCAAAAGAAACACTTGTTTTGTTTTGAAGCACTTTAAAATTTGTAACATTATGTTGATAAGAATCATACAGTTTAGAAGTCAATCAATTGATGCAAATTTTTGTTGTTGTAGTGCCATGTTTCAGCACAAGTTAGGCTATACATGGTGGCCAGTATTAATGGTGGAGTAAGAACCCTGGAAAACCCAGGGAAGAACCACCAACCCACCAGAAGCTACTGGCAGGCTTTCTCACTTAACTACCTGAGCCAAGTCCGGACTCAAACTCACCCAGACAAAGGTGAGATGGCAGTGATCATGGGGGAGGGGGGCCTTGCAAATTTTTTAAATTTTTGACAATAATTAATGTGTATATACTGTTTTAAGCCTTTTAAGTATGTGTGCTAGGCAAAACCAGTTCAATTTGATACACAAATCATTTTGAGAATTTATTTTGTATTAATGTTTCTGTTTAACTCTGATGGAAAAAAGTGCTAGGGTCAGCAGCAAAAAACATGGCTGTTTGGCTGACCAGAAGACACATTTTTTGAGTGAGGCCTAATATGGCAATACAGTATAACCTGTCTTGAAAGACCACCCTTCCTGCCAGAAAATTATGGCCTCTCAAGACAGGTGGTCTCTCATAAGAGGTTACAATGCTATTAAGTTGTTGCATTGAGAATATGGTCTCACAAGACAGGTGGTCTCATATAGCAGTGGTCTTTCAAGACAGGTTTCACTGTATTATCAACTGTCAAACTTGTTTTAACCAAAGATATCAAAATGTGATAAACCTGTTTTTGAAAATGTTACTCCATATAAATTTAACAAGTCAAAAAATGACTTGATATTATTACTCAAATCATCTTCTCCTATCTAAATTAACAGTAGACTATTTTCACCAAGCAGCACATTACAACTCACAGGATTTTTGCTTTCTCCACACATTGCTGTAGGTGTTGAGAGAGCATGTGAAAGATTTAATTAAAGTCATTCAACTGTCTCTCCATGCAGCCAGGAGTTTCCATGGCTTCTCATAAAGAAACAGCTCTGCACACCAGATACCTAATTTTCAATGTTCTTTAAAAAATCATGCATTATCTGAACCATAGCCAATTTATTTATCATCAAAATATTTACTATATGAATAATTAATGCAATCTTTGAATGCAAAATGTGATGTTTGTATAATAAAAGGCACAAATCTTTGCATGCAACCACTGAACTTGCTTGTTATAGAAAAGAAATGAATGCAGAATCAGAGAAGAATAATTAAGTCCCAATGCAGTCAATATGTGCAAAAAGACAAATGCCAATTCTATAAATAATAGTGAATCTCTAGAGATACTGGTTCTAAACATCACTGAGTTCCAATAACACCAGATAATATTGATGTTTTCTTCACATTATAGCCATATAACTTATCCAATGAACTGAAATACCATTTTCCACATGCACACATTAATCTAATGTTGACTGTTGGTATCTGTTTGTCAACCAATTTCAGTTGAAAACTTGCATACAAAATTTGAAGACATCACCATTGTAAACACAGGAAGCCAACACCACACTATGTCAGGTTGAAGAATTAATTATCATGATACAGAATATTTTAAATGTGCATACATGAGCATTGAAGAAAGATAGGGGAGGAAGTAAAATGTAAGTGGTAGTCAAAAATTGACAAAAAGAGTAAAAATCAGGGGCTAAATGAATACATTGTCTCAAAATCATTAAATCTGGAATGTCATGAACTAGCACTTTCATCAGCAGGTAAATGTTCAATGAAAATATATTTATAAAAATGCATAACTCTTTTAAGAGAAAGAATGGCATTGTAAAACAAATCAAACTACTGCTGAAGACAAACATTTTTGCTCATCTATTCATGACACATGTATCACCACTCTGGTGGCTTAGTGGTTAGAGCATCTGCCTTGGATGAGGGCTCGAACCCAGGCCAACTCATACCAAAGACTTATAAAATTGGTACTAACAGCTGCCTCTCTAGGCGATAAGTATTAAGAGGTCAGTATTATGACTGGTTGGACTGGTGTCAGAATAATGTGACTGACAGGGGTGATGCTCTATGTCTGCAGCACAATGCTTCAGTGTTTGATATCACTACAAATTGCCACACTGCAGACATCATAGCAATATGACTGAAAAATTGTTAATGCAAGTTTTGTGTGAATGTTATTTGGACTTTTAATATAGCTTTAACAATTTTTCAGTCATATCACTATGATGTCTACAGTGTTGCAGTTAATAGTGATGTGATTATGATTTTTAACATAGCTTTAACAATTTTTCAGTCATATCACTATGATGTCTACAGTGTGGCAGTTAATAGTGATGTGATGTGATTATGATTTTTCACATAGCTTTAACAAATTTTCAGTTATATCACTATGATGTCTGCAGTGTGGCAGTTTATAGTGATGTCTAGCACTGGGGCATCAGGCCACAGACATGTAGCATGATGTCCCACCCAGTCACATTATCCTGACACCAGACCTACCAGTTCTAACACTAACCTCTTAATGCTGAGCATCAAACGAGGCAGCTATTAGTACCATTTTTGTAAGTCTTTGGTATGACTCAATCTGGGATTGAATGTCTAATACTGGTGCATTAAGTCACAGACACGTTGAATGATGTCCCCCTAGTCACATTATCATCACACAGTGAGGCAGCTGTTAGTACCATATTTGTAAGTCTTTGGTATGACTTGGCCAGGGATCAAACCCATGACCTCCCGCATCCGAGGCAGATGCTCTAACCATTAGGCCATCAGACAATTATAAAGGCTATGTTAAATATCCAAATCACATACACACACATGAACAAGACCAAATTTCATATGCAGCAACTATTTTTGATTTTAAAAGTGCTATCAAATTGGTAAAACATGGCTCTCTTCACAAACAAATATCTCTCAAGTAACCAGGGTTCAATTCACAACATGGAAGAAGAGAAAAATTAGGTTTTGAGGTCACTTCAGGACACAACTATCAACAAAAGAGATGTAGAAACATCAAACTTTAGATTGTGTGGAAAGTTATGATGTTTTTCAGCCAAAACACAAAACTAACATAGATGATGACCTTAGTTGATCTATAATGAGAATTTTAGCCTTTATTATTACCACTTGTCGAGAACATGTAAGTTATGCTGGTTAATTATCTTGTACAATTAAACATGCACACCTTTTCATAAATATTACTTCAGTTTGTAGGATAGCTTATATCACTGAAAATGAGTAACTTAATGTTAATATCATTATTTTAAAGTAATAATAATTTGGCAAAAGAGAGAACAAACAGCAGAGAGATAGAAGAGAGATCTGCATACAGAATTGTTAATGACAGACAACTACATGATTGTGCTAATTTTCACTAAAACTTTGTACTTCAAATAACCAAGGATATCAGACAGGACAATTTTTTATTTGCAGAATTTAAAATATATATATAGATTATTTGATTTACATTTGTTTTATGTTCTTATGGTTACAAATTTCCGATATTTTTTTTACTTCAGCAATAATTTTAGTTTAATTGCCAAAATTTAATAATAAAATTTCACCCTTCACTGCTGGTTTATAAATGGGACTGGTTAAAATGAATCTCCAAGTCTGATGACTTCATGTTAAATAATAACACCTTTCTCAAGCCAAAAAAAGACATCCTCATTGTTGCACATTCTTGACAATATTTTATAACAGTGTTGTGTTTTGACATTGGCTACTGTCCTGATTACTGGAGGTCATACACTGAAGTCAGGTCTCCCTTATGAACAGAAAAGCTTGAAAACAATTGACTTGCTCTGATCCATAGAAAAAGAAGACCTTATTCTATCCCTCAGTTTTGCTAATAAAACAAAAATAATAAAACTTGTGCAATGAAAGAAACAAAATATCCTGGTCAGAAAGAAAATTGCCACTCCACACCCCACCCCTACTCAAATTAAATGGTCAGTCCCTTACAGCAGTGGTCTCTAACCTTTTAGTCACCGCGGACCAGTCAGCATTTGATAATTTTACTGCGGCCCGCTGAGGGAGGGGACATTGTTTATAATTTAGATTGTTCTGATTTAATAATTTTAATTAAATAAATAAACATGCCTTCAAAATAAAATACAGTTACAACAAAAATGAATAAAAATAAAAATAAATATAAATAAATATAAAGTGACTATAAACCCAAGAAAAAACACAACAGTATATAAAATGGAAATAATTTAATGTACCTTGGACGGCCCGATACCATTTGATCCATGGACCGGTACCGGTCCGTGGCCTGGAGGTTGGGGACCACTGCCTTACAGTACACATGCATTATGCCCCCTTTTGTCACAATCTACCTGGCTCAAAGTTGTAAATATTCAACCTTGTGAACATGTGTTCTCATTAACAGTGTGTTCTGTTTTTAACTTTATATTTCTTTTCAACTTTTATTGTCATTTAGAAATCAAATTTCCATATCTCCGTGGATAACTTTTCATCTGTCACAACTGGATAAATCAATGCTATAATGCAGAAGAACACAAAAGGCGTGCCTCTCACCAAGTATCTGCACAAATTAGTTCAGATTCTTTGAATAAAATAAATGTTTACAACTCCTTGAAGTGTTCACCATCTACTTTCCATTGAACAAAATGTACTATTCTTGAGCAAACTAAATTGGGAATGCGTGTTTGTTTTTACAATAATGGCCTTAACAAATATGTGGCCTGATTTGGATCATATTGTTAGGGACTCCTGGATTTAAGCATGAGGCCCCTTGAAAGCATGGAATTTGGAAATAATCTTTTAAACAAGTATGATATAATATTGAACTTAAAATTTTCTTCCATCACTTTAAAATTATTTTGAATCTCTATATATATTTCATTAAAGTCATTACTTTATAAATGCATATATAATGATTACAAGTCTCTTTCTTTAAATATTTTTTTGAAAAAATTCCAAATATATAATCCACATAATGATTGATTTTTAATTTGGTATCTGATTATAATTCACCCATTGCCAAGTCTTTCCATGGGTGGTCTTCAAATTATCCTAATAAATCTGACAAGCTCCTTTCCTAATGCAATTGCACCTGATATGCCTGTTCAGTCATGGTGATGATTTGTAGGTATTTATACCTCCAGCACAAAGCTTCAGCATTCAGTGAGTGTGAGAGCTACATGCATCCTGCATTTTATGAACACAACTTGTGGAATAAATTATCTTAGCTTCATAATATGATGAGAATATATCAATGAGTTTGGGGAATATATCAATGTGTTTGGGGAATATTAGCAAGAATTATGAGAATATATCAATGTGTTTGGGGAATATTAGCAAGTATGATGAGAATATATCAATGTGTTTGGGGAATATTAGCAAGTATGATGAGAATATATCAATGTGTTTGGGGAATATTAGCAAGTATGATGAGAATATATCAATGTGTTTGGGGAATATCAGCAAGAATGATGAGAATATATCAATGTATTTGGGGAATATTAGCAAGTATGATGAGAATATATCAATGTGTTTGGGAAATATTAGCAAGTATGATGAGAATATATCAATGTGTTTCGGGAATATTAGCAAGTATGATGAGAATATATCAATGTGTTTGGGGAATATCAGCAAGTATGATGAGAATATATCAATGTGTTTGGGGAATATCAGCAAGAATGATGAGAATATATCAATGTGTTTGGGGAATATCAGCAAGTATGATGAGAATATATGAATGTGTTTGGGAAATATTAGCAAGTATGATGAGAATATATCAATGTGTTTGGGGAATATTAGCAAATATGAAACTTTAACCAAAACCTTAAGAAGGTGTTCATAACACTATAACAAGAAATTTGGCTGCTGTATCTCATTTTCTAACAATGTGGGCTCAACAACAACAACAATACAATTATTTTTATTATTATTATTATTATTATTATTATTATTATTATAGTATTATTATTATTATTGTTGTTGTTGTTGTTGTTATTGTTAGTAGTAATAGTATTAGGTAGCTGATTTATGTTAATAAGATGTTGTAACCATGATCACAGTAAGAACATGTGCACTGATGATAATTACAATGTGGTATTATTGCCATCAACAAAGATATTTACCAGTATACCAGTAAGAACAAGCATGGCTGCATGTTAGTTTTAGACATGCAACTTTTTTCTATGTAAACAACTTTTGCATTGTTAACACTGCTTCCATGTGTTGATTAGTTGGTTTGTACAGTCCTAGGGTTGCTGATCAAGAAGTTTTCACATACTTACAAAAATTTCAGAGTAGTATTTTTTTCTTAACGAAACTAAACTTTCTGTATGTAACTTTTATCATTCCATAAATAATTATAAAAGTCAAGTAAAAGCCATAGCTTTAAGAGATGCTACCTTATACAGTAACAAAACATGCCATGTGGACATTTGATCTACCTATTTTATCACATTTTATACATTTATCTATAAATTGTTTTTGTAAACTATCATATATACACACATATAAGCCCATTCACATACAAGCTGAAACCCCCCCAAACTGAACAGGAATAAACACTAAAAAGTGCTTGACCCACATAAGCTGACCAGCAACTCAGAGATATCATAAGGGCACTCAGTAAGTTTTAAATGCATTTGTTTAGGCAAACTTAATATTAACAAAATGTACATGTATACTTATCTCAGGCTTGGCATTTATGATTATTAAAAATAAATGATATAAACTTTTTTGAAAAGTAATTATTTAATTTTTTGTTTTCTTATTGTTTCTGCCTAATTAAGATTTGTGTATAATTTGATTAAACAATGACAAGAATTGACCAATTACAAGTTGCTGTAACACTACCTCTCCCTTTTGACTCAATTATTGTTTGTTTATTTGCCATTTTTATAATGTACACATTAACTTTAATTATCATTGTTAAATTAAAAGGAATGAATGAAAACATATACCACACAGCATATGTGTTCTGAAAAACTAATTCAGAATACATATGTTTATAGTGAACAATACTAAATGTCTCACAAGTTGGCAATAAGAAAATAAGGTCGGATATACGGATGTATGAGGGGAAAATAGTTGCCACATGTAATGTAAACGTGATGCTGTCTATTTAGGTACCTTTAGTTCAACAAAACTGGATATCCTATATTTGATAATAAATTGCTGGTATTTTTTTTAACATATGGTAGTGTAGAACTTGGCTTCTATGAATCATGACAGACATCCTGTCATTTGCATTGATAATGATTAACTTTTAAATAGCTGCACTGGCTTTCTTGCTTGTTTATTTAAGACTAACCTTTAAAGCAACTATTATTTATTGTGCAGTTTTGCCACAGCTGACCAGAATATGAATATAGGGCATGTCCTGGGGGAAAATAAGGCTCATAATAGGGAGAAACTGCGCATTCTTTGGGAATATCGCCCATATTAAACCCGAACAATGATCAATATTTATTGAAAAACAGGCTTTAAAAATGCCAAGAAAAACCTTCCAATTTTTGGTCCCAATCTCCTATGTTTTTTATTCAGTCTCCCTACTTGGCTTTTGAAAAGTTGATAGGTATGCCTTACCCCCTCCCCCCTTTTTTAACAAAATTATGGTAATCATGATAATATTATAGAATGAAAGACAATTACACATCAAATGTATTGGTATAGTTGCCAGTCAAACTTCCATTAACACAAGTCAGTTTATGGGTTTTAATGATTAACTGGCCTATATTGCTGTCATAAAATTTAAGACAAATCCACCAACTATCAACAAAAAAAAATGTAGA